AAAAAGGCATGAGAAAAACATTGCTTTACAAACCTTATGACTTAAGAAAAAAAAAATTTATATTTTTGCATATGGAAGTATTGTAATGTTTACTGATAATCTGCCAAATTTAGTTAACATACTCTTACTAATTTAAAAGTTATAGCATGAAAACTATAACAAGCACAAAATGGTTATGAGGTCAGTACCAGGGACTGAGCCCATGCTGAAAGAATTAACACATTCATAAAGTGTGGGGATCTTTACTGGCAGTCTTGAAACACTGGAAGAATTTCAGTGATCAAACGGTGGTTTTATGTATGTAAGATATCCACCTCTCTGGTTGACATGCATAAATATTGCCTAAGATATATAAACATCGAATTATAAAATATAAATCCAATTGAATTTAGATTTCATATCCAGATTATTAGAATTAAACATTTTGCTCTTTAGACTGTTAACTGACCATTAGTACATGTACTTGTCTACTCACATAGGTTCCTGCATAACATTAAACAACCAAGAAGAATGTTTGTCTGCAAAACTTGGCAGACGCTGTGAGTGGAATAAAGACACGGGTATCTGTCAAGCACAGGTTCATACTCCATCTCGAAAATCACCTCGTTCATATTGTCACAGAAAAAAAGGTTTGTAGTTAATTGTCTCTTCCTTTATTATTATGCATATGTAATTATATTTTAGTTTGGAGCTTTACAGATTCACTTCTGCTTTCTTCAGTGTATAAATAAAAATGTGCAACTTAAACCAGTCTTCTTGATTATAGTGTGGAAATTTGTGAAATTTACTATTATTTAATTTTTGAATAAAACACATAACTCTAAGCCAATCTTCCTGATTAGCTTTAAATTTCAACATTAGAGATCATCTGAGTGAAAATTGAAAATCTTACAGTATGCTTTAATGTATATTTTATTATATAGTTCTGTTTATTTAACTTTGCAATGTAGGCTTAGTGAATTTGACCAACTTTGAACCTTCAAACTATACATACTAAAACTCTGAACATACAAAGTGTATCTTCATGAAACTTGGCAAGATTTTAGTAAACATTACAAGTCTGTTGTAGACAAAAAAATCGGGTATTTTTAAAGTACTTTTAGTAAAGAGTTGTCTGTGAATTTATGAAACCTTTATTCAGTCAGTCTGAATGAAAGATGATTTTCAGGCTAAAAATAAAATACTTCTTGTCATATTACAGTTTCGTATTTCATTTGCATAACCTGTAGAATCTCTTAAATGATGATTTTTTTTCTCTTCCATAACAATAATTGTAGCAAAATCATCAATATGCATTTAAAGGAAAAGTTGAAAATATGAAATAAAATCAGTAATACTTTTTCCAGAATGATTGCAGATTGTAACAGAAAATTGCAGTTATTTATTCTAACAGCATTAGCTTCTAACCTTTTCTTAACTGCTTTCTTTTAGTTTTATTTTTGTACAGTATATTGTGAGCCCTCTCTTAGTATTTGAAAAGCAATAAATCAATAGAGGAGCTTAATTGTAAACATACGATGCCTATAGTGTGAGCTCATCTCGTGAAATTTTTCACTTAGACTTTTTCCATAAATTTAATTATCTGACCTAATAAGTTTCTAATTTTTATGTTTTAGTTACATCTGTTAAAATACTTATAACAATAAATAAAAGATATACATAAAAACAAGACATTTACATTTACTTTAGGCTTTTAGACCATTTGCACTCAAACATTGTGCTTCAGTAACCCTACTTTTTTTCTCACTGTATTGGCTGTTCAACAAATAATGTAGCTTTCAAATAGGCTTTTTTGAAACACAAGAAATATATCAGGCACTAGAATGTCCCAAAACTACTATAATTTCCAAATAAGTCATAAATAGGTTTAAAATTCCATTACTGCTAAGAGCAATGATTTTACTCAACACACAACAAGTATTTCTTGCAAATTGGTTAGTCATTCTGAAACCAGTACAAGAAAAGGAAGAAAATATATATAAGAGAGAATTCAGAGTACAAAATGCATCATGTGGCACAGAGAAATGAAGATTGAAAATTTCCGTAAATATTAATTTTTGAAATTAAGAAACTAAAACTTAGGTAATATAAAAAATTTGAAGTATAAATTATGTTTTCATGTCAAGTTTATTGACATACATTGATAACAAAGTTGTTCAATTAAATTTTGAATGTAACTATAAAAAATTTTAAAAGATGAGGTTTGTGGAGTATTTTTTTACTGTATATTGAAATATGTTTTGAACCTCATGTAATACTAAGTATGAAGTGTTATAATTTTTGTTTACAATTATTATGTGAACTTCTAAGAGAAGTTATACCACCTCCACAGTTGATCAGTGTATAAAATGTGAGAACATCAATCTTTTTTTTAACAGTTGTTATGTTAACAAATGTAGAGTTACTTGAATAATAATGAACTTATACATGGAATGCTTAATCCCTCTTATCATTTGCAGAATTGAATCAGGATAGCAATACTTGTTTTTGTGTCAGCTGATAATTCCTAAAGATTATGTAGTTTTCATCTTTTGTAACTGATGTTCAGTTAACAAGAAAATAATGGATTAAATCTTTTTTGACAGTACTCTATAATTACACATCACTTTGTGAGAAGATGACTTCCTGTCCTAGCTGCTTGGCCAATTCATATGATTGTGTCTGGTGTGGAAGCCTGTGTTCTTATAAAAACTGTCCAGATTCCCTTAAAGTGAGTTTATCATTTTATATGCTCTAGGTGAAAATGCTAAGAAGCTCTCTGAATACAACTAAAATAATGTGTTTGCTATAATGAAAGTTTTTTTTTAAACAGAGCAAATCTATTATATTTATACTATTTATTTCCAGACTACTTCAAACTTGGAATCTTGTGAAGATGCTGAGAGCAGCAACTGCGATAAACTCCACAATTGTCATGCCTGTCATACAGAAAGTCACTGTGGCTGGCAGGCAGACAACAAATGTTATACGTTTGTCAGGGAAATGGGTAGGTACAGGTCTACTTCACAAGCTTTCAGAGATAACAGAGAAATAGATAAGAAAACAGGGTTCTCGAGTATATCACACTATCAAAGTCTATATAAGTGGAAAGAATACAAGAAGTGGTCCACTTTTACCAATTTATTTTCATGTATGTAAAATTACACAGATGTTCAATAGAGAAATAAAAAACCTTATCTTCTTAAGGAAAAATTGTAGGATTAAAATATATATATATATCATGTCATGAATAAACTCAAGTGTAGATAGGTTATTTCCACTCAAATACAATAATCTGAGTATTGGGATGCATTACCTTGTAAATATTTAGAGGGTACTGTGCAAAGGTTAGCAACCACCCATATCCTCTTTATTTGTTTTTAAACCAACTTGCAAAATTTATGGTCATTTTGCTTTTATTTTAATATACAATGTAGCATTTTGTAGTGTATGCAACTCAGTCAGTTGCTTGGATATATTTTTTCATGTTAATTCCATTCTCTGTATGTAAAATTACTCTACTTGCTTTACAGCCTATAAAACATCTTTTTAAGTTTTGATTAGCTGCCAGTAAAAATCTTACATGTCCCTATTACTTGTTTCTAATCACTTAAGTAAAACATGTTCAACAAAATAATTTAAAAAAAACAGGTCTAAATGCAAGGAAATAGATTTCCACACTCCCCAAATTTTACATATGATCCCAAAACCTACATACTGTCAAGACATGATATTATCACTTTAGTGAAATAAGGTCAAAGTCAGCATGAAATTGTAGTTAAAACAGAATTTTTTAGAAAAGATACTTTCAAATTTCATAAAAAATATTGGAGAAGTATGACAAGCGGAGCAAGAACACCCCAGTGGCTCATCGGTAAGTCTGAAATCTTATAATGCTAAGAACTGGGTTCCCATACCCATGGTGGGCACAAATAGACCATTGTGTATCTTTATGCTCAACAACAAAACATACAGACTACAAGATGCTGTTTAAATGTTGTTCATCATCATCATCTCAATGAAGCAGGATTATTAAAGGATGTATCACAGTGAAAACCATTTTATTTAATTCAAGACTGAAAATGCTTATAGTTGCTTCAAAATTTAAACAGAACAGTGAAACAAAGTTTGGGTGTAAAAGGAAGCACTTTGTTTGGAAGGAAAACTGAAGAGTTGTTCTAGGATCAATGTTTATAACTATCAGCAAAACAGTATGAGAGTACTGTAAAAGTATGAGACTGCACGTTTTTGGTGGGAAACATATCAAAATAGATGGTACTCTAAGTGCTACCCATAAAAAAAATTTTTTATACATCTTGCTGTGCAATAAAGAAAATGTTTTTTGGTTGTTTTCTTACAATGATTATAACCAAAGGTATACAGCAAGTATTATACAACAGCACTTACAGTGGAAGGATTACAGCTGAGTGTAAGCTGTATTAAACTTTTTATCAGAACTGCAGGTTTTGATTTCTTTGTAGTACTAAGCTTATTTAATTATATATCACCTGCAGTTTGTGTTTTTCTATATTAATTTTCAAATAAATTTTGTTGTTGTTAACAGACAATAAAACTGTAAAAGCAGTTTTATCTCCAGACACTCGAGTAAAGTGTGAGTCACCTTGTAGCAGTAGAACAACATGTGAGACTTGCACTCAAGGGTCCTGTATGTGGTGTGGCAATCAGGAGATCTGCCTGGAAGCTAATGCTTATGCTGCTTTGTTCCCTACAGCTCAGTGTATGGAATGGACGACTCACTCTCATAGGTGCAAAGGTAAGTTCTTCATTTATCATATTTTCACTTTGAGTTCAGTCATCGTAGTCCTTCTTTATTTGAAAAAAGCAACTTTCAAGGGCTTTTCAAATACAGAAAGCATTTTTTGTTTTTCATCATGTAACTTCTACTCCTTTCTATTCTCTTTAGTCTTAATTGAAATCATTAGTAAAATCTTTAACTTTCAGGTGTAATAGGTTGAGAAATTCATTCTTTACTATCTTCTTCAATAACAAAAACAAAATGTTTTATGCTTTTAGGTCTACAGTGTGGTGACATTCAGACTTGCAAGGAGTGCCAAAGCAATCCTCGCTGTGGATGGTGTGATGATGGAAGTGGGTCAGGAATTGGGGCTTGTATGGAAGGAGGAGCATCAGGTCCTGTGGAACATTGGAATGATACGGTTCCTCATATGAACAACTCATTTTGTATGAAGGAACATTGGTATTTTTCATCTTGTCCAGGTTAGTTTGGCATCAACCTTAATATAGAGCAAAAATGTAACAAAAAATACCTTTTTATTTTTCTGTTGAGTTAGGAATCTGAAAAAATATACTTCATGAATTGAGATATTTTTTTTCTTTCAGATTGTCAATGTAATGGCCACAGTTTCTGTAAAAATGAAACTGGGGTATGTGATCAGCCATGTGCACACCTTACTGAAGGTACGTTGTTTGTGTATAAGATTCAGTTGTCTCCACTTGTATGTTGTTTTTTGCCAATTTTAATGGGTTATGCTTTTGGACAAGAGGAATATCATTGATATCCCATTTATTTATTTTTCACATAGTGAAAATAACCCAAATCACATGAAATTTGGTACAAACTCTCTAACTGATCTATAAAATTAACAAAATTTGATTCAATGTTTGTATGATTTTTAGGCTCTGAAAGTACCAACAATTTGGTTGAGAAAAACACTCTTTTGAAAGAATAATAAACATACTTTCTTTTGCCTTAGACTCCCTACTTTTCTTCTTATTGATCAGAAAGTTCCATTTCCTATATCCAGCAAGTTTTAACTTGTTTGACTTTCATAAGTATAATTCTTTTGATACTTTATTTTGTCAAATGAAGTAGCTGACCTCCTGCTTATGTCATACAAATATAGTATGAATGACAGAGTTTTACCACTTAACAATTACCTCACCTTTCAATATGGTAACAAAATTACCTTTATCAGGCATGGTAGGGTGATATTTACTAGTATAATTTTTGGTCAAGATTAATTTATTTCTAATAATTGTAATTTATTTTTAATAAATAAGATTTTGTACTTGTTACAACACGAACTTTTAATATCAGTATATTCAATAAAACACAAATGTTTGTCATCTGAATAGTTTGTCATTGCAGACCAAAGCTTACTATACATAAATGCCCTTACCTAATATTTTGTCATAAAAGAATATTCCTTTCACTTCCAAACAGATTGATTTTATACAAAAACATTATCAGGAATGGAACGAACATGAGCAGAAACTAAACTGGTAAAAAAAGTCACTAAGTAATTGGGAAATATTTCAAAACTACCTTTAGATTAGTTCTTTACCCTTGACTGCACCCAACTCACCATTTTCAATACATAACTAATTTGCACACAGTGCTATTGTAACTTACATTATGTTGAACTAAAGTTTAGCATTTCCCTTTTCCAAAAATTATTATGTTTTGGTGTTTCCTCTTTTAAAAGTTGAGAACCAGTCAGTATTCTCAAAGACCTTTCAGATAGTATAATAAATGTGAGGTTCAGTCAGTAAACCCACGTGTGGGCAAACAGGAAGCATAAGAGCATTAAGATAACCAGAAATGCTGAGATTGGTTAGGAAAAATAAATATAAGTAGCTGACAGTAAAATAAAAACTAAAATTGCTATGTTTTATGTTCAGATGCCTAGAAACATGACAGAAATGAAAGGTTCATTTTCTGTTTTCACTTAATTATGAAACAAATTAGATAAACATTATATAATGCTAAAATACCAGTTCAGCAGCATTTTTGAGTAAATTATCTTTGAAATAGAATATTTATTAATTAAATTTTGAAAGCTGATTTTCAAGTGTGCATTCAACAGTCAGGAAAGTGTGTTAATAGTTATCTAATGTTTTTACTTCTGGTAACCTAATAAATGTTTCTTACAATATTTTCACACAGAAATCTGTTACTTTCTTGTGATTGTTAACTTTTACAGGGAAACATTGTGAACACTGTATTCTTGGTTATTATGGTAATGCCTTAAATGGAGGGATGTGTAAGCGTTGTTCTTGTAATAACCAAGCAACTGTGTGTCATCGTGAAACTGGAAAATGTTATTGCACAACAAAAGGAATTACTGGTGACTCTTGTGACATGTAAGTAAGCTTATCTTGTTAGTAATGCATAGTTGTGTATCAAGCTAGCACTTTTTATGATTTTATCAATTTGATAAAAATATATTAATAGTTAACTTTATATAAATGAATGAAATAAAGACTAAACAGAGAGATGTTCCTTCTATGCATTTCTCTTAAAATGCTTTCAAATTAAATGTTACCAGTTGACACATTGCTTCAGATCTTAAATATTTCAAAATACTTTAGCCCAAGTACTCTCCCTTCACTTAGATTTAACCACTGAAGTTAGACATTAGTGTACTAAATATATTTGACTCAAGCTTTTTTTATACAATATAGTTCTTGTGCAGTATGTTCCTACTACTGATTTGTTTTTCACCAAGATACAAATCTTGTGAAGATATTCTTCTTAAACAAAGTGCTATGATCTGAATTCAAGCTTTGGTTATAGTAACACCAATATCCATAGTTTGTGGGATGACCCATCGCCATGTACTCGAGTCTGGGATTTTCTTTTGACCAACATTACCCCACACAGTCTACTTGGGATAAGTTACTATTAAGTCTTCCAGATGATCTGATTCTGTTGGCTTGAGTCTGGGTTATGGTGTCACCCATGGTCTTTTAGGTGTTATATTTTCATTAGTTCATTTTTATGCTTTTTCAGTCTGGGTTATGGTGTCACACCTATTCATGATGTAACGTTCAGTTACTGTTTGCTGTCAATAGTACTTTATTCTCATGTTTATGTTGTTATTTCACACAACAAGAGGGTCAGGTCATGTGTATTTACTATTAGAATCTTTAAACCTGGCCATTTGGACTGCTGACAAAATATTTTTTATTATTGTTAAACATTAGTTTTTGTTCCAAATGTAATGTAACATAGTAAATAACTTGTGTTATGGTTAATATATGTTCTTATTCAGTAATATTTTTATAAAGTTATTGTTTCATTAAAATCTGTTTTCAGTATTTTATAATTAGTGTACAAAAACTTGTCAGAGCTTCATATTCTACTTTTTTTGTCTCTAAGTTGGCTAGTATTTCAGAATTTCATAAATGCAAATTATGACTTTAAATTTCCAAAAACTTTGTTACAATTTTTTCTTTCATTCAGGAAATTTGAATTGTACATGTTATTAGGTTGTAACTGTGATATACTTCACAATTCTAGGTGTGCTGAAAATTATGTTGGACATCCTGAAGATGGTGGAACATGCTATTGTGAGTTTATATTAACTTAGTTAAATGCTTAGAAGACTTAGCTTCAGTCATTGTCAAATTAAAGACAGGAAAGTATTTACACTGTGAGAAGGAAAAAAAAGTCAAGGGATAGTGACACTCTTTCCAGAAAGAAATAAAAGGGGCAGTCTTTGTTAAATTAATAGATGGGTATTCGCTTCAATGAAATACATAACAGGAATTCTCATTTAAACAAACAACGGGTCTGAGATGAAAGTCCATGTCATCTCGTTTGTAGACTCGCATTCAAAATTTTATTGACCTACTATTTCATGAATTTATGTCAATAACTTTGGTACCAAACTGCACATTATAATTCAGATTTTAATACTATATATTACTCAATTTCTTATTTAAAAGCAAATTATAAAAAACACAAATAAACATTGATTTTTATGTGTGTCACGTGGTATGTTGAATGCATCACTGGTACAAATTACATGTTTATGAAGTTAAAATATTATGTCTATAGTTTCATACAATTTAGAAACTCAAATTACAGATATTGACAGGCTAGAATATAAAATAAGAAGGTCTTATGTTTTCAATTGCTAAGATATTTCTCATGTAATAAATCAAACACAGTGACGCCCCACCCACCTCTTTCCATTTTTGGAAACACTCTCTTATATACACAACATGAATAACCAATTGGAAGCTCAGAATGTCCCCTAGTAGTTTTCTTAGCATTTCTAATGTGGCTAGTGCCATTTCTTTCTTTCGAACCAAGATTTCAATGAGGTAGGTTGTGTATTTAGTCTGCTCGAAATTTCATATTTATAGACTAAAATACTCCTTAGTTACTAATCTTGATAAATTATAGTGGAATTCTACAGTATTGATATAGTAATTTATGATTTTTTTAGTTATTCAAATGTATATAAAAAATATTTTGTTTTATATCCTCCACGTGTAAACGTTTTAAAGGCCTAGCAACCTACGTCAAGCAGCAACCAAGTACAAAGGTCATAACTAAGAGAGATAATTGTTTGCTTTACTTCTTTAGTTACTGTTCTATGTTTTAAGAAAAATAAGTTAAAGAACTTATTTTAAAATAGCAATAATCTTTATACATATATAATAATTGAAATGTGACTTTATTTTACAAAATACTAGTCTACTAAAACAAAGTCAAGACAAGTTACTTTGTACATACCAAAGGTCAGTTTTATGTTATTTGATACGGTAACATGAGTGCACGTGAGCCTCGTCATTGTAACTTCTGTATTGGCTGAAAGGTCAGTATAATAAAAATAATAAATATATATATAAATGTATAATGTTGAGATTTAAGGTATTTAGTCCAAACATTTATGTTTTCATGTTGATTCTAGAATGAAAGAGGCATAATTTATAATTTTTTATGGTGGTTACAAGATTGGTCAAATCTACCAAACCCGTACAGAAATATGTTACTGAAAATAACAGATAAAATATAAAGTTTTTCTTAAGAAACGTTTGATAACTATCTGGACATTATAAAGATTTCGCATGTGAAATTTGAAAATTTTCTGAATCTTACTTTGCATGATAGATAGACAACATGTGAAAAACATTGCTTTATAAACCTTAAGACTTAATATAAAAAAAAATATTTTGTGTATGAAAGCATTGTAATGTTTACTGATAATTTGCATACTAATTTAAAAGTTATAGCATGAAAACTATGACAAGCAAAAAATGGTTATAAGGTTGGTCCCAGGGACCAAGCCTGTGCTGAAAGAGTTAATGAGTGGCTAGAATTTGAAGCTAAATAACAGAAGACTATGTATGTATATGCTTGTATTCCAGTCTGAATATCTCTTTTTAACACTTAAAACGTTCCTTTTAAAACCCCCCAAATACAAATTGTACATCTAATAAATTTGTTTGTCCAGTTACTTAGAACATTTATCCTGACATTCAGGATTTTTTGATTGAAATATATCACCTATTCTTAGAGATTTTGAGCATTTTCCCCATATTATCATAACTGTTGTTTACAAGCATACTTGTTATGTGATGTTTTAGATAACCTGAACTCTAACTTCCAGTACAAGTTTGAATTATCCAAGCCTGACAACAGGTACCATCACCAGATCAATTTTCGTCATGAACCTATGAAGGTTGATGTTGATGTAGATTTCTCCATTTCATGCTCAACACCAGCTTTTTTTAATATCACCACAGCTTCTTGTAAGTATTAATTGTTTTCATAACTTTCTATAAAAATACTTCTTTTTCTCACTCAAAACAATTTTCTAAATAATTTTAAATACATCACACTATTAAAAAACAGTTTCAGATAATTGGCTACTTCTTATTTTCTCTGTATTAAATACTGAACTGTAGCACTGTAATGTCTTTGTTTTGAATGATGAACTGGATGTAAATTGCATTTTGAATTTTATAGCATTTATGCCGGAACAAGCAATGATAGAAAACCAAGAATGCCCCGAGGTGGAATTTAAGCGACGCTTTTCTCATAATGAACACTCATTTGTAGGGAAGAACACTACTTTCTATGTCTATGTGTATGATATCAGTACACCAATGGTATTGAAAACTGGCTTTTCTCAGTATAGACAATTAGATCTCTTACAGTTCTTCATCACTTTTTCAAGGTAATTGTTTTTATTTTCACTGTAGTACACAGCGCTGCCTTTTTCATTTTCAATGATGTAATTTGTAAATTTGTTTTTATGGTTGTAGAGAAAAACATAATATTCCTTGACCTTTCGTCACAAATACTAGTATGTATCCTAAAGAAATATCTTCTAATAAAGCTAAAACAAAAAGAAAATAAACCATTGTCTCAAAATTGGAGGGCAATCTTGGCGAGTTATTTTCATTTTGTTGACTCACCTTTCAATTATATTTTTTATTAACAAATTACAGGAGTCGGGAAGTATTGTGTTTCGGAATATATCGTAAAATCTGTTGCTTTTGCATCTTGTAAATTTCATACTGATAGTATATTTTAATTAAACTACCTGTTTAAACTATAATATTGAAATTGTTTGTTTGTGTAGACAGAATACTAAAAACTTATCCTGTTAATAAAGTACCTTTCTTTTATTACTTTTTCCACAGCTGCTTTTTATCATTGCTTATAATTGCAGCAGTTTTGTGGAAAGTTAAACGAAAGTATGACTTATACAGGAGAAGACAGGTTAGTCAGAATTATCAGCATTCAATTAATATCTATAAGTCTGATGGGAAACATACTTTTGTAGGTACAATAGAAAAAACTGAACATCATTTTCTATTTTGACATCAGATGTAGTTTCAAGTTGCCAATACACACACTATTTCTGTTAAACAATAAGGTAATACAGTATTTGAAGGTGTGCAGTTAAAGAACATTAAAGCATTTTGCTACAATTGAGAGTTATATGAGACATGCATGAAGTTATTATCAGTTAAAATTTCAAAAATACACATTGTTAAATATAATTTATACTTTAATAACTTCTTATAAAAAGCTAACTTGAGCTCAGACTTTGGACTAGTAAATAGGTTAAATATTGTTGCTACTCTATAAAGAGACGAATACTGTAATAGTGAAGTAACCTTAACTAATACACTCAGAGCAGATACAGGTAATTGTATCTTATAAATCATTGTTTCTGAAATATTAATTTTTCTTTCAGCAACTTTTTGTTGAAATGGAACAGATGGCAAGTAGAGCATTTGGGGGAACTATTTTGGAACTTCCCGAATTGCCACAAGAAAGTGTTGGTATTCCTGCTGTAAATCAGGTATGGAATTATATGTAGGACAAAAAAAAGAGTGTATGATATTTAATATATATCCGTTATTATACATTTTTTATATTAAATACCATAATGTATGTGTATGAATTTTTCTTTTGGTTGAAGGTTCCACCTGCACCAATTGCTCTTGAACCATGTACAGATGGGAAAGCAGCAATTTTAACACTTCTTGTCAAGACTCCAACTGGTGATCAAGAATTCACTCCAGAAGGACAAGCTGGGTTAGCTATTGCCAGTGCGTTGGTGTCACTTGGACAGCTAAACACCTCATCCAATACAACTACACGTGTCATTAAGGACACAAAGAAAGTTGACATGTGGAAAGTAGACCCAGACAACACAACGTGCATCTGATGTGAAAGACCTTAGAGTTTAACAACCATCCCTTACAGGTGCCTCCTTCATGTGGACTTTTTAAAATTGAGTGGTTAAGAAGCAGAAATTCTTGGTTTACAATAACACTGACTTCCCATCAATATTTTTGATGCATACACAATAACGATCTGTATCTAGTAGGAAGATGACTTCCTCTAGCTCATTGCTTCTAGATTTTATTTTTCTATATTCTTTAGTCAGAATATGAAAAGACCTATATAGTCAAAATTTTTCTCCTAATGCAGATTTAGTTTAAGAACACATCAATTAGGTCAAAATGAGTTTCTTACAGTTTGGAATTTAATATTAAGAGGGAACATTTGCCTTACCACAAATGACATTCTTCAGCTAAAATCATGGATTGAAAAATATTATTTTGACTTCACAAATATTTAGCCTATCATGTAAGATTTGCACGTGACTGTATTATTTGTAAGGAAGTTAAACATTTTTTTAAAGAGTTACATGTAATTATTAGCATAACCATGCTTATGTGATGTAAATATAATTTGTTTCCATGTTATCTTAAGAAAAATTTTGAACTCAAACAACCACATTAGTGATTTGAAATTAAAGAAATTATAAAATGTAAATTTATTGTCGATGTAGGTCGTGATTTTATTTACGTTTATAGAGACCTCATAATAAACTCCAGTTTGCACTAAACAAAGTTAAGAATAGTGATACTAACATAACAGTATGAGAGTCAAATGTAGATTTCATAGATCAAGTATGCTAACCATATAAACAAAGAAATAATGTACTGACCTCACTTTCACAAAATAAGTTAAATTAATCTTCTCAACTGAAATGTTATCCCTTCACCATACTCAAGACTTTAAGCTATAGTAAATCTGTTTATTTAAGATAACTTTTGTAACATTAATTAAATTTGCACTTGTATTGCTCATTGAACGTATTTTGGTTTGATTCTAAAGCTTCTGTAAGTTAGTAGATGTCCATGTTCCCTATATCTTCAACTATTAAAGGAATTTTATTTATTTTAAAATATCAAAACTGGATGAAATGCTTTTATCCCAGTTGTTTATTAAGAACTAGCATAATATCTAACTAGTGTAGATAAGGTAATATATGCATATGTAATCACACACACACAATTCAAGCTCATGGAGAAAGGCTTTTATGTCTAGAAAGTTAGAAGTATGTTAATCCTAAAATGAATAGTAAATTTTTTGACTAAATACAGTTAAACATAGATCATAATATACCAAACTTACAAGTATTTAAAATTCTAACTAGAAGTAGAACAAAATAGGAAAATTATTCTTAGCCCCATCATATATAAAATACCATGGTTATAGGTAATTTTCTTTTTATGTGAAAAAAAAAAAGATTAAGTTCAGTTTACAAACTTAATAGCTATGAAGTGATTGTTTAAAATAGAAGGCTAATGAGATATTATTTCTGCTTATGGCCTACCCTTTATCAATATTTTCAAATAATGGTAAGTAAATGAAACCTTCAGAGTTTTAAATATTAAACCTATCCATCTTCATTTGTATGCTATGAAAATAATGCAAATACCTCCATTATTACTAGAAGTGTGATAAGTTACCAATTTATCAGAATGTATGCCCTTGTTCATACCAAGAAAGATTTTAAGGCTATGTACATTAATTTTATGAAAGCCATATATCTGAAATTTCATACTAACACAACTATTTAAGTAGGTTGTGTAGATAACAGATTTTATTGCATAAATTCGAATTTATTTGCTGCTGTTTTTGTACATTCAATACAAGGGGGAACATTAGTAATATAAAGGAAATTATAGATTTATTTCTACCATTGAAGAAATTAGTCTGTACAACACTTTTCATTTAGCAGTGTGGGTTAGCAAAAGGAAGTTTTTCATATTAAATAATTAGTTTTAAGACTAACTTATAGAAAAGGTTACCTATATGTAAAGTCAAGCTATAATGCACTACCATTGGGCTATTTAATAAAAGGAGGTGTATAATACTACATATATTTATTATTTATTGGCTTTCAAAAAGCGCCAACGCCTTTCATTTTCTGTTAGAACACTGTAGAACTTAAGATATAGTGTTTAGCAATCTAATCTGTATAATTTTTTTTACATGTCAAGATTCTAAATAAATAAACAAGTCTTACATTCATTGTGGATAGGTCATTATTTTGCAGATGAATAAGAACATGCTCAATCCAACTGGTCAGAAGAAATATACTTTACCATCTCTACGTTGCACTTTCATGCCATGAAATTTTATGGGAATTAGTCAAGACTGTCGTGCAACCTCCTTAAGCATAGTTTGTGCTCCTGGTAAATCAACCCTTTTACTGAATTCTCCCAGTTTTGACTTCATTACTTGTGGTTTCCTCAACAACAAAAGTAATATCTAGTTCTTTATCCCACCAGGCTGTGCTTAATTTGTTTTTAACGAAACTACCAACCTTTCTGGTGCTTGCTTCCTCCTGACACTATAACCCATGCCATTTAAATATATATATATATATATATTTATTTTTAAACAAAACATTAAAATTTTTAATGAATTTTTCTCAAGAAAAAACCACGCTGTAAAAATTCCATTTTATAAGATTGGGGAAATGTATTAACTAGGTTCTTGGTTGCAAATTGCGTAGTTATATGCCAAATAACAAAACCTGGAAAATAAATCATCGCTGTTAAGAACTGCTCGTTTAAAAAAGGTCGACTTTGAGCATGTTACTGGAACAGTAAAATAAGCAATAAAGTATTTATTACCCAGTTTTCAAATAAATAGTAAATTGTTAACAAAATTACCAAATGCACTTCCAATTAGCCATTTAATTTTAAAAAAAAATTATTTACTTCAAACTGCAGTTGTGATATAGTTTAACCTATGTAAAATTTCATGTCAACTAAAAACTTTATTCTTTATTGCAATCATTCAGAGCTAAATTTCAAACTTTATCAGCTTTTGAAAAGTCACACTCATATGCTGACACTCCTACCTTTATTTATACAGAAAAATATTGTCAGTCCAAAGGCTAATAGTATCACTATAATTTTGTTTTCATGAAAACAAAAAGAAACACCATTTAGTGAATGAAATTATCTTAAACTCTTGATAACATTTTATGTATATATTTTGTTTCATTACCTAATAATACTTGTGCACAAAAAAATGTGTATGTAATGTTTATACACCTTTCAAATAATAGTAATTAGTTTTTTCAAAGGATTCCATTACTGTTAGATGTACTTAGAAAATTAATTTTCAGATTTGAGTTGTGAATACATACCGTAAGTCTTTCAGCCCCAGTGACTGTATCACTGGTATCTGCATTTCTATATATTTTTTAAATATTGTAAAATACTGATATATTTCAGATAACTTGAACACTGACACCCCCTCCTAAACTTTCTCTCATTATTACTGTTATTTTGAATCTTGTGAACAATCAGGGTGACATTAAAAAGGTTCTTTCTTATGATTAAGTATTACTAAAATAATGGACTCTTACAACATCTCAGAATTTAATGTTAGCCATAAACTGTTAGAATTAAGTATCAAACAAAACACCACAATAAAAGATAAAGTACACGTTGGTTTTAATATGTTGTAAAACAAATGTTGACAAATGACACATCCCAACATTAAGCTGTGTAATCATAGCTAATGCACTCTAAAAAGAGCTGTGATACATACATTCACAAGACATTCAAACCTTGACACTTGTTATTTCACATGTTCATCATTCTCATTATCTTGCACTTCCAGGTCAACATGTTCACTGTCTCTGTGATGTTTTGGGGAGTGTGACGGGGACCTTGAGTAAGACCGAGATCTGAAAATTAATAAAAGACCGATCAAAAATTAAAGCCAAAACTGCTTAAAGTTTGTGCTGGTTAGTATAAAGTATATTTTGCATCCAAGTGATTTTTTCTTTAAATAAATTAAACAAATCCTTATTCAAAATGACGAGTACATAAAACATGAAGTTCAATTAAGCATAGTGATACAGATTAAGTTGCAAACTAACACAACAGATGGAAGGCTTATCTGTCAATTCTACAAAATGAGGAACTTTACACTCAATAGTAGGAGCTATTTACATAAATTTTTGTTTACAACTTATTCTTACGAGAGAAAAAAAATTGCATGTCAAATTCTGTTTCCCAAGTAATTGTTTTGCTTTAACCCTTTCGCAACGGGCTCAGTATAATATACACAAGTTCATATACACGTTTGCACACATTAAGTTTTTATAGTATACTTTTAATTCAGGATGTGCATATTCACAAAATTTGGTATACCTTCAGTCTTTTGTACACAAAAAAATCAAATTTTTTAATGGAATATTTTTACTAAAGCTTTGTTTGTAAATATATCGAGTCTGTTTTGTCACTAGTTGGAGTGGAAGTGATTTTCATGTTAAAAAATACTATTCTTCATCCCAAAAATCTCAAATGTTTTTTATGTAATCTTTAAAACTTCCTAAATACATTTCAAACATTTGTTTTCAGTAAAACTATATCTTATCAGTTATTTAATGATATACTTCAGCCTGTAGACAAATCTAGAAAGTATAATGAAAAGACAGATTGTAAAATTAGAAATAAAAGGAGCAGCTATTATTGGTCAAGAAGTTTCAAAGTACTTCTCTTACGAGTTTGAACTGCTAAACATTTCACATTTATTTTCTGAGTTTATTTTACTGTCAACAATTAAAGTAGAACCCCGCTGAAAATATACCAATAAATTGCCACTTGTGTCAGTAGACGGTTTATGTGACACCACCATAATATGATACTCCTGAAAGCAACAAAGCACACATGAAAAGATAGTTGACTCGACCCCTGCTCCGAGAACAGGATGTCTAATGTATCGGATTACATATACTAAATGTTTTCTTGGAAAATTCAGAGAAATCACACTGCACTTAGAATCAGTGAAAATGTTTATGCCAACAACAAGACGTGTAATTTATTGGCTTATGTATGTATCCTACAATGTTCACAACAAGACTTTGAGAGTAACAACACTGCACTTTGAACCTGTCAAAACATTTATTATGTGGTTTAATGCCAATACAATAAACATTCCAATTCTTTGAATATTGGTAATCCTTTTGGGGTGTTTGGAATTTAGCAGCATAAGTGTACAAACTGCTTTTTACCACTTATTCATCAATCAATAAAAACTTTAGTTTCATTATCACACTCATTTGGTTTTGGAAGCCTTATAAGTCTGGTCTTCTTTGAAAAACATTCTTACTTTTGTAGCTAAAGTGTAGTTTAGAAGTTCCCTTACAGTTCTGAAACACCTTGAGTTGTTACTGACTCTTACCTTGAAGTAAGTAATCATAATTTATTATATATATATATATAAAGTACAAATCTAACTGTATTACCAATATTTTGCAAACTCCACCAATATTTCAGCTACCATCCATTACATGTATACACTGAGTGGTCACAAGTAAATAGACACCTAATTTTTCGTCATTTAACTGATT